GGGGGGGGAGAGGGGGAGGGCCAAATGACTGAGCGGGAGGAGGGAATGCAACGAATGTGTTGACTACACGGGTGTGCCACCGTGCATGTGAGCGAGTGTGTGTGTGTGTGTGTGTGTGTGTGTGTGTGTGTGTGTCCAACACCACTGCTTCCGAAAGAATCCGAACACCGAGTTGACTACCGTGCCGGGCGGGTCCGCCGGGCAGGTGTGTGCCGCCGGGTGTGTCACCCTGTCCGCTGTCACCACTACATCTTATGAGAAATTTCAATCTCTCTATCGGCCGTCCCCGGGCCGCCGCCGGGCCGCCAGAGGGACTGGACAGGACATTCCGGGCCCGGCCGGGTCCGGGATTAGACACAATCAGGGCCCGGGTCCTCCTTAACGCCGACCTCATTAATTTCGGCCTGCTGCGAGAGCGAGAGAGAGCGTTTCGTAAATAATCGAAAATAAAGCGGGCCGGCGTGGTGTGCGCGTCGCGTACAGAGCTGGACAACGGCCCCTGAGCATGCAACAGACATCAACCACCGCGTTGGAGCGGCGATTTCGGTTCCGTCGGTTCCGTGCGCAGAAATAAAAAGAAATACGAAATAATAAACAGGAAAAGGAACAACAACAATAATAATAATGGAAAGTCATCGGGGTGTGCGTGCCAGCCCCATATCGGTCGGCCGCTCCGCGGGTGACGATGTCCTTGGGGGTCCCGCCGGCCGGCCGGTCCGGAGCCCGCGCGGGGTTTCTAACTCACACCGGCCAATAACGTAAACTCCTTTGGTTCCTCCCGGAGCCGTCGGGCTGCTTGGGGCGCTCTCCTTAGCCGACCGCATGTAGCGCTGCGCGAATTAAACCAAAACGACCACAGAACCCTTTCTGCCACTCGGGGGCCGGCCCGGGCCCGGGCTCAGCCAATTAAGCCGGGCCTCGCGCAGGTTTTCGCGCGCGCTTTGGTCCAGGAGGGCCCGCCTGGCCCGCCTCCCAGACTGTTTGGTTTGCATACCCCCGCGCGGGAGCGACCGAGTGTATTCGTCTTCCACGGCCGGGGCGGGGCGGGGCGGGACGTCGGGCCGAGGCGAGGGGGGCCGACCGGCTGCCGAGAGGCCCTTAATTAAGCTCGGAGACCACTGCCCACATGGTCATGCCATGCCGACGGAACGGAGCCCTCGGTTTTGAATTGACGGCAGCGAGAGGAAAACATTGTGCCTTCATAAAAGACGCTCTACGCTTTGGGAGACTGCTTTGCTTTCCTATAAAATGACAGGCCACGTTAAACATGCAACACGGCGACGCCGCGGCAGAAGAATATTTTCCTATCCTATAGAGGATCAAAACGTCCGATAGGTTTCGGACGCGAGTCGGGTCGAGGTCCTTCCCCCTAGCGCAGAGCACCGGCCGCCACCGGCTGGACCAGGGACGTCCAGCCGTCAGCCGGACGTCAGCCCGACGCCAAAGGGTTATTAGCAGGTAGTCGCCTTAGTGTCAGAGTGACGGGCTGACGGCAGCCACCGGGCAGCCAGCGCGTCAGCCAGCGCGTCAGCTCCGCGGCCGAGTGCGTAATCCTGAACCCCCGGCCGGCGCGCAGGGGAGACGCCGTACGTCAGACGTCAGGGGAGGGCGCCTCTTCTCGCCTCTCCAGCAGCCCCGCCGCGCCCAGACCCGCCGCGCCCAGCCACGCTCCGCGGGGGGCTCGTAGTACCCACACAACACGGGGGAGGACACGCGCGCTCGTATGAGTTTGATGAAATAGACCTCCGCACGAAACAACACGACCCCCGCCCGCACACCAGACAAGGGCGGGCAGAAAAAAATTATAATAACAACAAGCAGACGAAGGAACAGGCGCCAGACACGTTTCCGATCAGCCGCAAACAAATTGCCCGGCGTGTTCCGAATTTCTTATATACCCTCTGAAACGTACGGCTATATGACTGATGGATCCGGGCCGTGAGCTCGCGGTGCGGGCGCCGAACATGTCGGGAACGACTTTTACAGCACGGGCACTTCCCGCGGTTCTACAAGAGCACAGCAGCACAGCGTGGCCTCCTCCGGGGGCGGCTAGGCCTGCTCGGCCTGCTCGGCCTGCTCTGCAGTCAGTCGCGCCGCGAGCGCACAAGGGCCGTAAAACAAGTCCTGCCCCCAACAAAGTAAAGTGCGCGCCGCGCCGGAGCACCGCCGAGCAGCAGCAGGACTTCATCTCCGCGCAGGCCGGAGAGGAAGGGGATGGGGGGGGGGGCAACAGAAGTAGAACGAAACTAGTAATAATAAAAGCTGCGGCGGAATGGACATGAAGCAGATAAGAAACTGCTCAGCTCAGCGCCGAGGTCTGATGAGAGAGTCCGGGCCGGCTCTCTGCGGCAGAGGGTGATGGCGGGGTACTTGGTGCAGCCAGAGCCGCGCCCGCGCCACGCCCCGCGCAGGCCGCGCAGCACGCCGGGCTCGCCGGTGCTCTAGCGCTCGATTCATGGAACGCGCATGGGGCTTATAACAGCTGTATCCGAGAGCGTCGTGCATGTGGGGGAGAGGAGAGGGAGAGAAAGGGATAGAGAGAGCCGAGAGGTGTGGCTAGCAGTAAAGTGCGCCGCAGGACACCGCGCTTGCTTGCGACCCGCCCCGGCGCGGTGACGGACGAGACGGCCTCGCACCGAGAGAGGTGCACGACGAGGAATGGGTCGACGACGGGCAGCGGGGGGTTGGAGCCGGACTCACCTGATCCTTGGCGAGCTGGAACCACGTCTTGATGATGACGGGCAGCCTCCAGCGGTGGTAGGACCGGGTGGTCTTGACGCTCACGAAGATGTCCTGCAGCGTGGTGGTCGGCGGCTTGCTCGTGGCCGTGGCGGCCGTCATGACGCCCGGGCCGCTGACGGGGACCATGCCGCCGGCGCCGCCGGCGCCCCCCGCCGCGCCGCCCGGGGGCTGCATGGGCGGCAGCGGGGGCACCGTCACGGGGTCCGGGTCCAGACTGTTGCTGTCCGCCGCCACCGGGACGGCCGCCGCCGCCTCCAGGTCGCCGTTGGAGGCCTGCTGGGGCTGGCGCAGTGACAAGCCCGCGGGCGGCGGCGGCGGCGCCACGAGCCCCGCTCCAGACGACGCCGGCCTTCCGGGACCCTGTGGGGCAGATCAACACGATGATGAGGCACTGTACTCGAGCTCGAGCATCTCATTTTGCGGGTCGAGCTGCGATTGTGGGGGAGTTCCCTCCGCTTCCACCCTCGCGGCAGGGGTGCGATGCAATGCGGGTACACAGAGGCACGAGGGGTGGGGGGCACGCAACTCTGCAGGGCGGGTGGCGAGTTGAGGGGCTTTGGTGGAGACCGCGACTGGATGCTGGCCGGGCGGGACGGGCGTGGGGCTGACCCAGCATCAGGGTGCGTGCCGTGCCCTGCCAGCCCCTCCCGCCCTCCCGCCCCGCCATGCAGCCGTGCAGTTTGCGAGACGGACAGGCCTGCGGACAGCCGGACGGCGACAGGAGGACAAGGGAACCAGACAGATAGCGAATTTGCTGCGACACGCACTGCATTGCAGCAGCGCCTTGGTCCAGCGCTCCAGCACTCTGAGAGAGTCGCAAGAGAATCGCGGTTTGAGGTTCAGCACAGCCGCCCGTCGCTTCCAGGTGTTTAATCACATTGGATCACAATGTAAATAATTCGACCATAGAAGACATTATTACAGATTTGCCTAAACAAACGGTGACAGGTGACAAAAACAACAAATTCTTCAAAAACTTAAGCACTTTCACTTAATATCCTTCGCAATCTACATTTAAGTCTTGGTTTCAATTTAGTAACAGATGCTGACGAAGAAATTAAAACTAATATCGGAGCACTGGGTTATCCTGACACATAGATGTCAATGCACACACTAGAACACACACATGACATTGCTTCACTTCCGCAGTGACACAGGTGTTGGAGGGCCTTAAGCCTTGAGGACCTGATGCCACACACTGGTATCCCACTTGTCACGCACTTGTCACACACACACACACACACACACACACCTGCTGTGCGTAGCCGGTGGCCGTCACACTTTGGTAGAGCAGGAGGGACATGTAGGCGAGCGCCGACACCAGCAGGAGCGCCTGCAGGGCGCGCTTGACTCGCAGGACGGCCATGGCAGCGCCGCCCGCGCCTCCACCTCCGCTGGCCGCGCGGCCCGAGAATTGGCGAGAGTTTGAACCGCGGATGACGGGATCCAGGTCCTCGCAGGGACTCGCACCGCGCCTACATGGCATGAGAACACACACGCGCGCCCGACGTCACGGCCTGCGATGGGGGCCTCCGCCCAGGGCGGCTGAGATACAACTGAGTTTGGGGAAACCATGCGAGACGCGGCTCCCTCCAGCGGCCATGTTGTAAACACTGCCCTTCCCCTCCCTCCTCCGCCACCTCCTCCTCCTCCTCCTCCTCCTCCTCCTCCTCCGCCCCGCCGTTCGAGTCCAACAGGTGTACAGTGCTGCCGCGGCGCGCCGTGGCGGCCGCGAGTACTACTCCGGGTGGGGTCTCCGCGCGCCGGGGGTATCGGCGGCGATACACCACCGTAACTTTCTGGGGCAAGGACCTGAGCACCTCATGACAGGCAGGACCGGGCAGGACAGGACGGCAGTCCGGCCGGAAACTGACGACGGAGGAGCAGAAGGAGGAGGAGGAGGATGGTGGCACGGCACGACCGGGGTCAGGACGGGTCAGGATGGTCAGCGCCGCTAGCTAGACCAGCGCAGCGGGACACAGGCGAGAGTGCAGAGCAGAACCTACACGCTGAAGGGAAGGGGCGCGCGCCATGAGATGCCCCGGGCCTGCCGTGTGGCTGCCATGGGCATTACCATGAAAATGCCTCGTGGGAACGGGATCATACCGGGGAGGTGCATGAGCGCGGTGAGTGCTGCCATGCAAATTAGCGGCTGCTTTCACCCCGCCACCGCCCGACCCTCTCTCTCTTTCTATCTAGCGCGCCGTGCTCGAGCGTGATAGCGGGAGTGAGAGAGACGGATATAGCAGAGGCAACAATGCACGGGAGTTCCCTACCAGCCGGCTGATGTGATGAGGCCCTCCCCCCGTCCCCCCACCCCCGGGCTGCAAAAGGCAAGGCGTCGTCACAGTGAGCGAGACTAGCGCGACTAGCGAGACCGGCGCCGCCGAGTGCGCAGTTGGGGTAGGTCACGGCAGGTCTAGTAATAGTGCGCGCCGAGCGCGACCGAAAACCACCGTGTTGCCTAAAACGTACCGGCCTAGGTCCAGGCTACGTGAATTCAGAGAATAGTGCTCCTGTGCCGACACTAAGTGGAACGTGGTGCCATGCATGTCAGGCGTGGCGTATCCAGCAACTGCTGTCCTTACGTTGCGAGGGTGGAGAGCAGAGAGGGTTGGATGAACCTCACTTTTAATGTAGATATGTATTGATGTACATTCCCTCCGATTAATTTTAAAGCGGTTTGGTGACAGTCCCTTGCCCCCCCCCCTCCCCCCTTTCTCCCCGCCCCCTTGGCCTGCCCGACGTAAATGTCTCCTCGGTCACTGCGCAGTGGGTCCGGGTCAGCGCGGGTCACCTCCTCGGGCGGGCACTGCGGCTGGGACACGACATTTCATACATCGACGGTGGGCGGTCCGTCCGCCTGTCTGTCCCTCGGTCCGTCACGCGGGCCTAACTGGCTGCTGCTGCTGCTGCCGTGCCTGCTGGTGTCTGCCGCCGGTGCCGGAACGGGGCGGTACGATACGGCCGGTATCGAGTGCCGCTGTATCACGGCCAGGCAGGCAGGCACGCCTACAGGCACGCCCCGCGGCGGAAGCGCGAGCTGGGCGTTGATGGTGTTGATACGACGAGTGCCGGTGACTGGTGACCAGGTTCTATAGGCGGATAGGCCTGGGCCGGGCTGGCCCCCATGTGTGTTGATCCCTCCACAGCAGGGTCCCGGTCCCACCCGGCCGGCCGGCACCGCGTCCTTCATGGCCGTGCCCTCCTGAAATGCGCCTCGGCGGAGCGTGACCGTGACGTGACGTGGCGCGGGAAGCGCGAGCGACGCCCCACCTGAACGAGTTTTTCTTGTCGCTCCCGCATCGCGAGCCCCGCCGGGGCCCCGCGGGCGCAGCGGAGCAGAGCGCGGCAGCGGCGGCAGCGATGCACACGCCAACTCTTTATTATTTTCCCAAACGCTCACCCCCCCCCCTCGTCCCGCCCCTTTCCCGTTCCGTCCCGTCCGCACCTGCGAGCCCTGCCCACCTGTGTGTCCTGACCCTGCGGTGCCACCTGCGCTCCACTTCACCGCGCGAGCAGCTCAGGCATCCCGCGGCTGGGAACGTTTTCAGCCGGGGGGCAAATGTACAAATAGTAAAAAATGGAACGCTCTATCCTCTCCAGTATTGTCGGATCCAGACCAGACAGGCGACACAGGGGTCGCGTCCAGACGCCAGACGCCACTGTTTGTATCGGACAGCAAGGGGGGGGGGGGGGTCGTGTTTTAAGTGAAAGAGTAGATGGATTGAACGAATTCGCCGTAGCACAATTACATTCGCTTCTGAGCATCATACCCTCGGGGAAACAGCGATACGAGCTCCGCGAGTGGCAGGCGCCGTACTCGCAGAGGGTAGGCAACCCGGTGAGCGCGCGCGCCGGCGTGTTGCCTACGGGCGTCCCCCGCGCAGGTGGTGCAGCAGTGCGTTGCTGTCGCTGTTTCCTCGGATACGCCGCCAACCGTGTCGCTAATCTCGAATTGACTTTGCATGGAACTAGTGACGCAACGAGAGTGACTCTCAATGTCGCGGAGCCGTGGAGCATCCCCTCCCCCCCTGTCTCCTTTATCTTGTGTTAGTGTTTCGAATGAAAGTTTCCCAGGAGCACCTAAGCACTATAGGGCCGATGACGTTTTTCTCTTGGTCGCTTGATTTGGATTCGTGACAGGTCCTGAACGCCGAGGGCTGAGCTCACTCTACTCGCGAAGCTCGCATTCCCCCGTCCCTCCCCGCCGCCCCTACCCCTCCCCCTTTCCCCGCTCATTCCCCAGCGCATGCGCTGTGCAGGCAACAGTCGCTGATTGAGAGAGTGCACTAGTGCTGCGCAGTGTTTGGGGCCGACCCAAACTCATCTGAGCTAACTAGGCCTTGCCTTTGGACGTTGTTTTGTCATTGCTCAAATAGTTAATACACGACGAATCTGTTGTGTTGTTTTTTGTACAATTCGGTCGAAGGATTGTCAGAGCTGTGGTGCAGTGTTTTGCTTGAGTAACGGTGAATGTGGTGATGGTGTGAGAGGTCCGAGATCTATGTCCCACCAGTGACGTGTGAAGCCGTGAATTCTTCATCAAAATGTGGAGCCCGACACACGTCCAAGTGACAGGTAAGATAAGTATTGCTAATTGATTTTTTTAACATTAATCTCTGCTTTGAAAACTGTTCCTTGCTAGTTAATCTAGATAGTGTCACCAATGAGAATGACTACAGTTATCTCCACTCAGATGACTCATAACCTCGCTGTTTATCTCGTCTTTTTTTCCCTTTCGAATCTTTCAAAAAGAGAATTTTGTAATGAAAGCAAACAGGACAGAATGTGCTTGCAATTAAATTAATAGCCAATAAAAATATGTCAACGATTCCAACAAGAACAAAGTTTGAGTGATGAGTTGTATTTCCTCTTTGATTTCTGAGTGAAACCACATAAAATACAACACGGGTTTGTGGCATTTTAAGATCTATTTGGAATAAATTGTTGAGCTTGTCTTTCAGCCTGTAATATTTTTTTAGATTTACTCTTGTTACTTTACTCTTGTTTAGACTGAACTAGTGAGGCATGACCAAATGTAGGCCATGTTTTTCTTCGTGATTTTAGGAGGTCACCATCCAAATACATGTTTTTGACAAGTTCTTACAAAGTTTTCATGTATCAGAGGATCACGCCCCTAAGTTAAAGAAAATTTTGCATGGAAACAAATTAGTTCTCAAGGGAAATAGAGATTTCTAGATTTTTTTTACATTCTGACTAAAGCTCCACATCTTTACTTTTGTTGCAGTACAAAAAGCTCGTGGACTTCTCATTAAAGGGAAAAATGGTAAGCTCTTTGTTTATTTTGTTTTTGTTTAAATTTTCTTACAATTAAATTTTAAGGTAAAAGCCATTATAATTGTGTTTTTGGTTTGTTTATATGTGTTTTTGTTTTGCAGGTTTCAATGATGCCTTTGTAACAATTGCTTTGGGTAAAGAAAAATACCAGACGTCTGTGAAGGAAAAGGCACCTGCTAATATTGAATGGCATGAAGAATGTGAATTGTAAGTTTTTGGTGTTATCTGTTTTATAAAAATATTGCAATATTTCTTTTGGGGAAATGGAGAATATCAAACCAAATCAAATTAAATATTACTGTAATATGCAATGGACAGTGTCCTTGTCAGCATTTGTGTTGTGGCTTATGTGGTAGAGGTTGTGTCTTCTGCAGACCAGTGGAGAGAGTTGAGTGGGTGTGACAATGGCTGGCTGGCCTTGGATGTTTCGTAATGTTACTAAATGGTCATTGTTCTCAAACTTCTGTAATACAGTGTTTGTTTAGTTGCACAGTTTGACATCCAATTTGTTTAGTATTTTTGGTTCCATATAATATTGCATTTTTTTGTATTGTTTTCGTTTAAAATCAAAAACATTTTTCACTTGTAATATAGAGTTGAATTACTCAGGTATTAATTTCTTTTTGCAGGGAGATCCCCAAACATGGCAACACTGCAGAGATCACCCTCACAGCTCTACATCGCAATTTTTTGGGAGTGGATGAATTTTTAGGAACTGTCAGCATACCTTTATCTGAGTTTGATGTCTACGAAAGACCCCGTAATAGGTATGTAGCCTTTTGCCAACTTATTTCAAGTCAGAATGTTTTGCTTAAGATGATGCAAAGGTGGATAGGGCATTCAAGCATTGTCCTGCACAATGTGCAGCCCCCACAAAACGGCCCCCACCCCCCTCCTCTCCCCCCACTTTTCCTCCTGTGTTTTGTGAGTAGGAGTTAGGCACACACAGAGGAGGATGCACTCTCACTCGCCATCCTCAGTTAGATGCAGACATGTTGAGTTTGTGCATGGGGTTACTTGTGCTTTGCAGATTTCTGAAATTTTCTAATGTGTCCAATCGGGGGGTTTGCTTTAATGCGGTATTATGTCGAACGTCAATGTTTGGGCGGATCTGGAATTAGGTGGGGCTCAGCAAAATATGGGTTGGTGAAAATTATCCATCTATCAAAAATGACTAAACTTCAGTATCTTAAATTCTTTTAGCATTTTTTTACTCGACGGATTTAGAATTTCTTTCACTATATGTGCTTAAATTTTTCAGATGGTATACACTTCGGGGCAAACCTGGCAAAGAGAAGGGAAAGGATAAGCAACGTGGTGAACTTGAAGTCAAGGTGGGATTCATAGTGAAGGCTGGCTCCCTAACTGACCTAAGTAAGAAAGAAAAACACAAATCTTCATTGGGCCAGTTGTCGCATATGGCACAGTCTGTTGGTGAGCTCATTTTCACTGTATGATTGCACGTATTTATGAGAAATAGCAAGATGGGCTATGTTTTTATATAACTCTTTTTATAAGGTGGAAGTCTTCTGAGCATTGGGAGTCTGGAAAAGAAGAAGGGATTGAAAAAGCTTGCAAAGTCTATTGGAGCCAGAGTAGGCAGAGGATCAAAGAAACACATAAGTGAAGAAGTTTTACCTGAAGGGTCTGTTTATCAGTCTTCTGGTCAAAGAATTGGTGATGCTGATCCAGGAGTCATAAGTGAGGGTGAAAGTGATGATGAATTCAGGGTATGTTCAAATTTTCTTGTTTTATCTGTCTAACCTTGCTAGCAGGATTGACATACTTCACTATATTATAGTACTGCCTATACTTAAGTCTAATGTACAATATGTTTTCCAGTTTGATGAACTATCTCACAAGAGTTCTGGCAGCTCTCTTAATATTCATGGATCTAGTGGAGCACAGCATACTCCTGTATCAGGTTCAATGGAAAATCTAGCTGGCGGAGAGTTCCTAAGGCGGTCAGCTTCTGGAGTGTCCAACTCATCCCTAGGCCGGAATACTTTAGGGCCTCCATCTAAGCCACCTCGTACTCTTCTTCCCAACCCTTCTCCAGTGACAGTGACTCCACCAGCTGATGAATGGGAACAAAAATTGTATGGTGGACGCAAAGATGTTCCAAGTGCAGATACGCTAAAACGTCGCTCTTGGGAGAGTCCACGGCTCCCTGCCCCAAGCCAACCACATGAGGATGTTCCACCACCACTCCCATCCACCCCTGCACCAACCTCACCAGCCATGCCTGCTTCCCCAGCATTGACTTCATCACCTGCACTTCCAGCTTCTCCCAGCTTCACTAAAACCAAAAGCGGTCTTAACTCTGCATTTGGCTCTCAACAGTCAATTGGAAGTGGGGGAGCAGATGCAGATAAGGTAGAGGAAGATAAAGACAAGACCAAAGAAAAAAATAATTTGAAATCAAAATTCAAAAATTTCCGCATGGGCAAAGGTATGCTTGCTTTGTCCTTGTAAAGTAAAAGTGTTTTTTACAGCTTTGAATAATAAATTCTATTTCATTGTGTAGATTCAAAGTCACCTGCCCCAGAGCCTCCAATTGTGTTAAACTCTCCAGCGATTGACACTCGTGGGGAAAGGATCATTGTGGGTCGAGAAAAAGAGAAGAATAATCAAGGTTCCCCACAATTGCAGTCTCGTTTATCCTCTGAAGTTTTACGCAAATTTGAAGGGAAAAGCAGGGAGGTAAGTGCAGAAAATCTTAAATTTTCTTCTATAGGCATCATGAATCAGGAAAGCACTTTATTATATACCCGCTTTATTTTTTTTAGGACTTGATTGAAATGGTCATGAAAATGGAAGGAAAACTTGATGTTCAAAAGAAACGAGTGAAGGATCTTGAAGACTACTTAGACGATCTCTTACTCCGAGTAATGGAAACCACTCCTCGGATCCTTCAAAACCCGTTTATTACTTGTAAGGCACAAGCGCGATTTTCTTAAATTACAAAATGAGATAAGCACTTACATTTTGAAACATTACCATCAGTGTTTGCTCACTCATGATTTAAGTTAAAACAGTGAATGCTTCATTCTTGTAAACATGTGGAATGAACTTTTTACAATCTTAATGTCTTCAAGAGGTTTTTCAAATAAACATTCTGCTTGGTTATGAGGATGACAACATCTTAATTTATTGATATTAAGAGATTGGTAGGTACTATTGTTATTGTATAGCATGGTGATTGTTTTGATGATATATATTTTATTGAATGACTAATACGTACTGTTTTTGTCTGTTGATGAAATGTTTTATTATGCGCAGACAGATTCATTTAGATCATATTTTTATACTGCACTTTACTTCTTAGCTTCAGCCTATGCTAGTTGTTTGCCATATTTTTGAGGCCAAGTGTGCACCTGGTTGAATTTTTGTAAATATTAGATCTATCTTTCTGCAAGATTTCAATTTTTAACTAGCTCTTGGTCATCATGAGAAGTAGTGAGTTTTTTTTAAATCTATAAAGTGACAAATGGTACTAAGGCTGCTATGGAAGTGTGTATTTCCAATGAGGCGTAATGGTCTTGCCTCTTGACCCCTACTGTGAATAAGAACTTCTTATGAATTTGTATATAGATGGTATATGCGTACTATGCCTGAAAAAGCCGAGAAGAATTTTATGATACAAGTAATTCTACATCACAAATGTAATTTGAAAGTATAATGATTTTATGTTATGTGCAAATGGTTTCCCTTGATTTTGATTTTGCCCTGGTAAATGGAGGATGACTAATAGATGCCATTATATGATATAGTCACTTATTATATTAAATCATATTTGTAGGCTTCTTGCACTTGCTACTTACTTTGCTAAATCATTTTGAACCAGCTTTTGAAAATCATGTTTTATGTAATGTTTCCCCAATGTGATTGTATCATGGACTTTAATGAGATTCAATGTGATTATTGCTTTTTAAGTGAGAGCTGAATATCAGAAATACGTCCTCAAATTCTTCCCTATTTTTTGGAATACTTAATATTTACTGTGATAAAGGCAAATTTGAAGCATATTGTCAGCTTTTCTTTTGATGACTGGCTCAGTGCTAAGAGCAGGTGTATGTGACATGAGTCATGGCATTCTAAACTGACATAAGCCCTTTCATGCATTCTTTACGCCATATTAACAAATTTTATGTTATTAATTACTGTGTATGGACCTGTGATTTGCTCTTATTAGACTTAAAAGTTCATATGAGGCTTAAAGGCATCTTTGCTGTTTTATTGGTACCTATATTATTAATCTGGATGTGATGGTTATATAGGGCCGAGCCGTCAAAAATGCAACTGTGCAAGGGCAATATATTGTAATTACAAATATTTTAATCTAAGAGTAAATAATAATATAGCTGTGTTATATGTGGGGAGAAAGCATTAATTCCAGACTGATTTGTGGATATTGGATGTGTGTTTATGTTTTACATCCTAAATTCCGTCCAAAGCAAAATATTCTTAAGAAAAATGGAGCTGGTGAACCTCCTGTCATTTCTTTACAAGTAGTCTAAACGACACCTGTCTCACTAGTAATTGCCATATAGAGCAGCTATGATTTTGTATGAGGGAAGAGAAGCATGTACACTAGTTGTGAACAGCCTTGATTTCGTGTGTAAATATAAGTTGCCAATGCTACAAGTTAGTCTTCCATTCTTAGTAAATTTATGATAAAATTTGTACTGCAGGCTGCTTCGTCTTACCCCAAATAAAACATCCCAAATCATTAACATTCATGAATTTTTTTACCAACACCTTCCTACTTTGAATCTGCTTAGAGGAGGTTAATACATTTGGGGAGTTGAATTCATAATGGATAAGTCTAATTACTTGATAATTAACTTTATTTCTTTCATAAATACATGTTTCTGTACAGCCAGATCTTGTTGGCCAAAACAGGAGACAGACGTACTACTGAGAGTTCTACATCAAGCTCTGCATTTATCACAGAAATCCCCTAGCATAACAAACAATAATGATAATGTTACAATTCTTTTAAGACAGCATTAGATTTAGTAACTGCACTAAAACCAACTCCCGCCCCGCACACACAGACACAATTGTTGGCACTTTATTTCTAAAGAATGTGGCAATTTATTATCACATCAGCGATAGTGTGTGCAAATGGCAAATAAAATGTACAGAGCTGTGGTGCTCCACAAGGTTTACTACTTTATTGTCAATGATACTCTGTTAATCATTCACACATCATTCAGTTTAACTCACACACCATACATTCAATACCACAATCTCACCCTCAGCATCAAAGCAAAAATTAGTAACAATTCTCCTTCATCACTCTCAGGAATGGATAAAAAACACTTCTAGTGTATACACACTAGATAATAGAAGTAAAATACTACAAACAACTTGTAGAAAAGGAAAAATTCAGAAAAGGAGAAGCAACAATAAGTATTTCACATAGGCCGTTGGCTTCTCATGTCTCAACAAATGGAAGATAATACTATCACGGGGATGGGGAACTTCTTCCAAATTACAGACGCATTCTGACTGCTAATCACAGAGTAGACATTGTGAGCACAGAGAACACGACGCAACCAACTAATTAATCCAAACAAAAAAAATGGTCCTCAACCAGTCAAACAAAGAACACACAGTTTAAAAATATGTGGACCAAGATTCCTTAAAATCTGCTCAGCCCTCAAAGTAGACACTCACTCACACATTCACACACATCGCAATTTATCTCAGGCTCACGACGCTATGGCATGCAATTTTGATTGACCACCCCATATAACAAGCAAGATTCCTCACTTTTATGTGCCATTTCACCCGCAAGTAGAAATTAATCCCTCAAAATTATCTAAAGTTTCAACATTTCAACTTAATATGAGTAAATTATAATGAATACTTAGCTGCTTTGTAGAATTAGATTTAGCTTTAGAGGAAAACACTACTTTGACATAAATTAGTAATATATTATCCTTCATTTCACACATCCATATATCTTCTGTATCTCTAAGAGCATGGCACATAGAGGAAATACATGGCAGCAAGGAAAACCACTCATGATATGGGGTGGTCAGATAATTTTGCACAACATACATAGGTAGTTGATTAACTCCATCTGCTGCAGCTATCTGTTAAACTTTATCATTAGTTTACACTGCATGTATAACTTTACCCATGAATTAACATGGCATTATAATCATTATGTGGAAATTAATGAACAGAAAATAATTTATATCTTTGTAATAATAATACACTATTCACTCTGGAAAACTAAATACAACACATCTTGAAGGATGTGCTGTCACTCCACACAATTCTACCATGAACAGTATGGCTCAACAAAGTCCTCCACATAGAATACCTTACATAAGAACAACTCTATAAAAATAAATTTATTAAACCTCAAGGAAAATTTACAATACTTCTTTTCTTTGTCTTCTATAAAAGTAACCATGATTTATGAATGAATATATACACATGAAGGACCTTTAAAAGTATCCTTTACATTTGTAACTTTTCTGATTCCCGACAAAATAGATTGAGATAATTATTTCAATGCATAAATAAGTGCTTGACTGATCTATTAAAGGGGACCTGTGTGCTAGTCGTCTCTATACCTACGCTTGTTAACATTGCAGTAATCCTTCCGAGCTGCTGCCACTCCACGTCCAAGGTGTAAGTACGTACTGAGTACAGTTTATTGCTGCTTAGTAATTGAAAAAGGAACCTGCATGATTTGGCGCAGCTACAAGCTAGCGTTTAAATGCACAGGTGTGGCCATCAGGTACACTAAATGGTGCATAACTAGCTGAGCCTATGTTGTTTCCCTAATCAGAATAGAAAAGATAGATAAGTACTACTGGAGCACCAAAAACGAGAATACACACACAAAGAATGAGTACTTACCTAGTGATTTTATCCATTACCCCTCTGATCTCTGTATCTGTAACATCTGGGACAAGTTTATGTACCATCTCTCGTACGAAAAGGTCTGATATGCCAGGGCTGGCTCTTTCAGCAAGTTCAAAAGCATTTTTAAGCTCTTCTATAGCATCAGTGCGGTGTGCAGGTTCCCCACCTTGTGGACTATAATCACGTCTTCTCTGTAACTGGTTAAGAATATAAATTGTAAATCTCCTATGCTTCATTGGTACAACTAAACATAAAAAGAAAACAACTTACCTCAGATATAATGGGATAAATTACTCGACACAGACAAGGAGAGCGTTGGTGGTGAGCATGGCGTGAGCCAACACGGTCACTTTCTGCCACATCTGATCGTTCTGACCTCTCTGATCGGTCTGATCTATCTGATCTATCTGATCGCTCTGATCTATCTGACCGCTCTGATCTATCTGACCTCTCTGCTCTTTCAGAACGGTCATTACGATTAGCGTGATCAGATCGGACACCATGGTCTGTACGATCAGTTCTATTTGCATGTTCAGTGCGATTGATATGTTCTGGCCTGTCTCCCCGGTGGTCTAAAGGACCTATTTCTTTAGATCCACGTTTTTCTCGAGTTCCAGTAGTTTGGGATGTGGGCTGAACTTGTGATTGTGATTGAACTTGTACCAAATGTTGAGGACTTTCTGAAGGAGGTGGAGGAGCATTCCCCTGTGGTCGAGACTAGTAGAGTAGAAAAAATGTGTAAATAACAAATTTAAGATTTTTTTAAAAATGGAAACAAGTAAGAGATATAGAATTAAAATTTGGGGACTTACTGGGCCAGGGCTCCTATCATTACGATGATGATTTCCATTTAGTCGGTGATTATTTTCTTCCGGAGGTGGTTTGATTGAGTGAACGCCTTTAACAGTCATTATCCATGGCTCATCCATGTCACTATCTGGTTTTGATTCTTCCCTACAGGTAGCAGTAAATTTGAGAGTTACCAAATTATAACAGGACAAACAGATAATTGATATTTTTATAGCACATGTACTTACGAGTCAGAGTTTTCACTTTCTGTCTCACTCTCTTCACTGCGTGATGATTTCCATTTCTTGTACCTATCAATTAAGTCTACAAGGTAGGAGTTCTTCTTGGCTTTACGGATAAATGGGAACTTTAGAAGTTCTTTGGCTGTTGGCCTCTGCAGAAATAAGATACAAATTACTCATTGTATGATTGTATAATCAATGTAAAAATTGCCAGGAAGTGTAACTACAGAGAAACACCCAAAAATACATACATTATCAGGGTCCTTATTGAGACAAGCTTCCACAAATTCTTTGAATTGACGGGTGTATTGACCAGTTAATTGAGGAGGATTATTTTTGGGTATGAGAAACAACACACGCATTGGGTGAAGTTCTGAATTGGGAGGTTCTCCTTTGGCCAATTCAATAGCTGTAATACCCAATGACCATATGTCGGCCTACAAACGAAAAAAGGCAACTAATTAAACTTTGTTCATGTTTTAAAGTCAAAGCCTTTCATTTTTTAATTTATATGTAACCTACTTTTGAATCATATGCTGATTGCTTGATAACTTCAGGAGCCATCCAAAAAGGAGTACCCACAAAAGTGTTTCTTTTATTAGTAGTGTTAGTGAGCTGGCCTGCTACACCAAAATCTGCTAGTTTCACATCTCCCATTTCACTCAGCAACACATTTGCAGCTGGAAAAAGAGGGAAGAAACAAACATGTAACATCCGGACCATGGCACTATATTCAGAAACTTCAATTCTTCAAGATATTACCTTTAATATCTCTATGTAATTTACGCTCTGAATGTAAATAGTCGAGGCCTTTGAGAACTTCACGAAGAATTATGGCTATGTGCATTTCCTCAAAAGACCCTGCTTTCATCAGGTCCAGGGCAGAACCCCCACCAAGATATTCCATGATAATCCATAACTTGGTACCCTGAAGAGGAATTGGGCAGTATAGGGTAAATGTAGGATTATGAGATAAGATAAAGAACACTAGCAACAGATAAGGCTAATAAGAAAAGAAGTGATGGTGCCCACAAATAGTCATACCTTGAGGTAGGAGCCAAAGTATTTGGTGACAAATGTCGAATCACATTGGCTGAGCACCATGATTTCCTGCTGTATGTCTTCAATTTCATCTTCAGCTTCTTCAAGATCAATTATTTTAATTGCAACAACTTGCTGAGTTCGCTTGTCTATTCCTTTAAAGACTTCTCCAAAAGATCCCTTACCAATCCTCTCTTGCTTGGTGAAGATCAGTTCGGGATCCACCTTCTAGAAGACAAAAATTACAAGAACTGTTTGAAAACATGTCTTTGAAGAGGCAATAAATGTGGCATCATTAACTGATTCACTAAAGAGTGGCAAAACTAAAAAGGGAAATGATACAAGTTTTTATTCTTAACTCCAAGCAAATTAGTTAAAACCAGGCCATCATCTAAAAACAATCTAGACCTATCACACACAAATGCTGCAATAAGTGGCCAACAAAATTTCTTACATTCATTGAAACCACAGCCAGTCAGCGGAAAAATCAAGGCAGAGCAATCGTCTGCCGATTCAACAAGAAATTCGTCGTGAGGGATTCCTGTCAACTCATAGGGAAATTCCAGTTCCGTCAATCTGAGTTGGCCGATTTCCGAATCATAAACAAAATTGAAACCACGTCAATGCGGACTACGTAAACCTCCACTAGCTGTGCCAACTCGGGGGAGCAGATGACACCCTCGCGAAAACAAGGGCAAAGGGGTGACAAGACGGGATGTCTTGATTTATCGATCCAACCCAATCCCAAGAAGGTTATGTTGCACTCGCCTCCCCTCGCGCTCAGCCATCGGAATGCACTGGCCTAGTTCGGGGAGGTTATGTCGAGATTGCCAACCCGGAGACAGCCCCAAATTCCTTAGAGATGAGGCCTCCCACGGCCTAAGGGCGAGCAGAGGGGTGGACGCAGCGCGGCGCAAGGAACTACCCCCGAAGGACTGAGCAGATACGCCCCCTATTGAGGAGACCTGCTAAATATTTGGTCAGGCACTGGCTACTGCCACTGGGCAAAACAACGACAGCGGATGACACCTCCTCACCTCATTGAAAGCCATGGTGACGGCTGGGACGTCCGACAAAGTTCACCGCGGCGCTGGTCGCGGCGCCCGCCGCATACTTAACCCAGCACCTGGGACGACTTGACTTTGCGCGACTTGAACGCGATCCAATGCGTCAACAGGTTCAATCCACTATCCACTGCAGCCATGACGGCGCCATCTTGCCGTGTGGCCCGACTCGACACTGACTACCGCCACCACCGCAGGCCGCTACTACGCCGCCGCCGCCGCGACGCCCTCCTCTCCTCGCGACGCCTGCGACGACGCCGCGCCACGCCGCTGCAACGCCTGCAACGCCCTGCAGTGGACAGCCCACCTCGTCCACTGCACTCCAGCGCATGTAAAAAAGTAAAGAAATAAAAAAATACTGACGCGATAGGATTAGAACCCGCGACTCGTATGCGCTCGGCTTGTTGTCATTGTGACAGCGGCGGGAATTCCCCGGCCCATAGTGCAGCCGTAATTCGCCGGTGCGATTGATCATATTGAAGTAATTGAAGTCCCTTAAATGCCCTATCATTTATTCAACCCACCGCATTTCTCTGAAAACAGTGACAACCCGGTCATCAAAGTTCGATTGAACCAAGATTGAACCCACCCTGACAGGTGCCTCACCACTCGCGCATATCCTACTTGCTGACGTCATTAAAAAACAAAAAAGAACCAGCAACTCGATCTTATCTTTGCAACATCTTATGTCCCTCTGATAGTATTGATAGAACTAGACGGTGTTAGTCAGATGGCCATACTTGACTTCTTCAACTCATTTTTTTCATGTGCTCTCACTTGAGCCATGGAACTAAAAGAGAATAAAAACAAATAAAACGCAATGTGGGTAGTCTAGATGGGAAAGCAAGGTATATTTTCCATATTTATCATACATAATGTTTAAAAAAACCATCAAGCTACATCCATCTTAAACAGTATCTTCCAAAACTCACAATTAAATTTTTCTAGTCTGACACTGGTCTATAAACATTTATACTTAAATTAAGACATTTAAATAAACTGACATTTGACTTAGAATTATGCTTATCACAAAGCTTCTTCAAGCTCACAGTAAAATTGCATTGGATACCTCAATCCTTGCCAAGAAAAGTATCCTTTTCATTAAAAGTGATTTTTCCACAATGCAAGCAGTCAAAACAGCAGTATACTTCAAACAGGTAATCAAGCACGTATTTCTTTAGCCAGAAAAAGAAAACTCCGAGCATTAATGTAGGACAAAAAAACGTTGAAAGGCAGACAAAAGCCATGCAAAGTAAGTAAAATTACACATACATAAGTGTAAAAAAACTTTGCACATACTTAATTTTATAACCAACAGAAACAATAATGAAGATACACAAACTAACTGTTCATACACATGCAAATCACAGGGAGTATGCACAGATTTTTGCCAACTCAATTAATGAGGATGTTACCCAAATGCAGGAAGAAGAAAGAAAGAAACAGTAATTACTGACATGTCTCAATACCAAAATGCACACATTCTGATACGTCTATGTTAATGCCGAGGAGAGAGGTCCAGCCCCTGCTCCTGCTTCTGGCTCAGTACGTCAAGTTCTTAACCAATGGCGGAAAATTTTCATGTGCTAAGAAAATCTCATTACCAGTGAGGGTTTTGGAATCTCAGAAAACACGAGACCATGGATAAGCTCTACAGATGCCACATTGGGCAACAATGACAGTAAATATAATCCAATAAAAAAGTGTACACAAAGAAGAATTGTCTTAAAAATTTTGTGCTTTCAAATGTTGATCTACAAACACTTTAGTTAAGAGAAAAATACACTTAAAGCTTCAAATACTTGCATGGCATATAATACAGATAGTATTCTTTAGTTGTGAAGTGCACCACTATTATTATTTTTTCAGCGTTACTACTTTGTACATTCTATGTACATGCTGAGTTTGATATCAAAAAGGTATGTCCTTGTCCTGTGTGTCTTGTGATGCAAAGGACTCTTTTGAATATCATAGTTGAATCCACATTTGAGTTCCAGAGAGGAGACTAGCACAAAACACTAACACCAATAGCAATGAAATACAACATGCTACAAGCTAGAGAGCACACTGACTACACTAAAAAGTGTACTAGATCTAAAAAAATTCGCACATACAATAATAGGGGACAAAATGGAGATGAGGAGGAAGAGGGTTGGTGAAAGCGAGAGATAATGCTGCCTCAAACTGGGGCTTACTGCATTAAGACAACAGAATGAACAAATTACTGCCACATTATTAAGAAGCTTAAAGCTTTAAAGTGAAATTAAGTAAGGGTTACAATTGACAATAAGAAAGATGGCACTTTAACTGATGTTTTAGAAGATGAAGCTTACACAATTCCTAATTATTTTTTATGCAATATCACAGACTGCATTTTTTAAAGTCCTACAATTGTGTTCTGATTGAGAAAAAAATAAACACTTCACGTAACCCATTCTGGTTTTGTGGCTAGTTAGAAATAAAACAATCACCCAGAAAACAATTATAATAATAAACATACTAAGCCTTGCAAATAAATGAGGCAAATCTTTTAGCATACAGAGCTTTGTTGGTATTTGCTTTTAGATAGACAATTTTAATGGTTTCCAAATTAAATGAGATTAATTTGGTTTTCTGCAAGCGTAATGGATTTGGGGAGGCCCAACTCAAGCAGCAAATAGCTATCAGTTTCTTCCCTTAAGCAATCACAGTGCATTTGCTGTGCATTCCGTGCTACACAATGTTTTCACATGCACAAAACTAAGTTGGTTCATTTTGAGCTTCACGTAAATTGGCAGTTTGTTAAAAAGAGACCCATTCATGAGATATGGCGCTCATTTGTTCTAATTCTACTATACACAAATGTACCCAGCAATACGGTACTAATATCAAACTAGAATATCATCTCCTCCTGCCTCACACTCCTACACTGGGCTCATACAAACACCATGCACTCAGACTGTATCAAAAGAACTTACACACTGAGAATAAATTAGCAAAACCATTACAGACCAACAAAAGACATACAAAAGTACAAAGCTCACTTTACTAAATAGAGAATGTGTGCTGTGAGCAAATGTTACTCAGGCCTCAAATGTACAATCTGAAGAGAAAAATGTACACAATTTGATTTAAAAAAATCACTATTACCTGAATTTAACATGCAGTTACTGCATGTTATTTGTTTAAATGTTCAACTGTTAGAATTATTTAATGATCGATTTTAGGCAACAATTAAAAGTTTCTTATATTACAAACAATATATCAAAGATACATGAGAAAACTAGTTCATGAATGAATTGCTGACAACCAGATACTTACTGATATGACATGTGATCTCCCATAAACTCAGCTAAAACATTTCTTTACTTCATCAGTCACAATGACAAAACTTTGTTATCAAGATACAAATCAACTCAGCCAAATGCCCTGCATTGATGATGAGCCACACATCATTCTCTAACATGTTGACACAATCAATTAGGAAACATCTCAGGTTTTTTTGGCCCCAAGAGAGGGAAATTCTGTTGATCCTTATTAGTATGTTCTCCAGGGAATGATGACCAAGAGTCCATGATTCAAAGCATCCCATAAGACTCCTATGGGCAACCTTACAGGTAATTGGAATGTGTATGGCTCTTAAGATTTGTACTAAATGAAACCAACTAAGACAATAAAAACTCATAGAGTTGAGATATAATACATTTTAAAAAGAAATCTGAAGTAGAAAACCAAGTCTGAATCAAGGCTGCCTGCCACCTGAATCTTACACAATAATATACTCAATATTTCTGGACGTCTCTACAATCAATAAAATGCCAAGATACTAGCACATATTGTCCACCATTTAAGTAGATTATAAAAATGAATCTAGATCAGCCACAAGTGGAATATGAATACAAGATTTGCAAAGGATAAAGAGACGTTCATCAAAGTACTTTGCACCACAGTTCATTTGAAAAATAAAAGAATTACTTTTGAGACACTCCATGGTGACATAATTTAGATCCACTCTAGTCAGAGAGTCACACCAGTCTAGCGTATAGGATACCCCACAGCGTACAAGATCAAACTATCGACTCAATTTACCTCCTATACTTTGCAACTATCCTACATTCACAACCACAATAAGTTTTGTTTCTTCCAAACAGACGAAACAAGTTTTCAGCTTGTTTGGACTCTAAAATATTAAAAAGATCAAATATTAAAAATGGGCTCCATGGAGAAGTCTGGTGACAGCACTATTACTTTCCTGCTTGAGGTTTGGTAAGAAATACTGACCTTTCCTCAAGTAAGCAGGGCCAACGGTATCATAGATCCTGTGATTAGCATCTCTGTCCTTTGCAAAAACTATTTAAGATTGTGTAAAAATTACAAGAACTGTTTTAACTTTATAACTTAACTGCAACCAGGTCCCTACAAAAATATATCAATTGTGTAGAGGTACACGGTACAAAGAGGTACGGCTTTGAATGACTTCACCTTAAGCTATTTTCAAGGTGGTACAATTTCATGACAGCCCATCCATAGAAATTTGAAACTCCTTCTATACAAATGAATAAATAAAAATAAAACTTTATATTGTAGATATACATATATATATTTTCATATTTATTTATTTTTCATTAAAATTTGACTTCTCTATTTGGGCTATGGACAAAATCTGTCAACCAGAAGCCTACTTATAGGCTTCATTTACAAATAATTACATATTTGAATGTGCCAAGTTTCAACAAAACACATTTAATACTGGTTTCAATGTTAAAATTGCAACCAAGGCATCTATAGGATTCCTAGGATCTGCACATTCATATTGGCACAGTTCAACATCAATCTATCTAACTTTTAGACTAGAATTTATCCACCACAATGCTCACAGACTGCAAAAACTAAAGAACTTTCCTTGAGGAAATTTTGGAGTTCTGTAGTCACACATAGTTCAGCGCATGCTGACACCTAATATCGGTGGCTCACTGGAGCATCATTGGTAAGTTACAATGGGAAAAGAATGATGGGAAGTAGGGTTTGTGGCCAACCACTGATATTTCAGAATTACAAGATTCAATACAATTAATTTTCATCCCAGTTTTGCTCTAAGATAAAATTTCATGTACAAATATAGCAGATGTACTGAAAAAAAAAAATCGTTAAAAAGTAAACATATTACCTAATTCATTCATTATCTAAGAGAATGAAAATTGAAATTCATAATCTTCAGCAAAGTACAAAATACAGGACATCACAAACAGAAGAAAAAGAAACCAACACAATATAAATGACCTAGAAGATCATTCACAGCCATTGCAGCATGACCTACTAATGTCGTATGGTTGACCACAGACACTAATTAAAATGTGTATCACAAAAAGAAATTGAACGCAATGTGAGGCACCACAAAAATACATTGCCAGTAAAAATTCATGTCATAAATAAAATCTATATGGCAGACAAAATCGTTGCTGAGTATTTTTTTTAAAAAGAAAAAGAGAACATACTGAAACAGAACAGTAAAATCTTGCTGACACAGACAACTTTTAGGAATGTACAAGTTAAAATGATGAGGCATTTTCTGCTTAAACCATAACAAAAGCTTCTTTACCACAAAATAAAAATGGATATTGATCTATCATTGTCTGCACCACATCTTCCAAGTGTGGTCTCATTGCCTCAAAACGCCCCATGTCACTAAATTCAATAGGTAATAGAGTTGGCCACCAACAAATGGCCAGATTCTTGGAATCCATACTGTTCAGCTTGCAATTCTCGGACACCCTGTAAGATTTAATATTATTAATTCAAGTAATTGAAACAACTTTGCAATAATGCAAAAAAGTTCTCTTACCTTACAAAATGTTGGAAAACAAACTTTAGGACTTCAAAATTCACATCAGGCATCTTCTTGAGTAAACTCCGCAGGGCAAGTAGCCGACAGCTTCGATCCCCTCTCACTGTAACATACAGCTCTGCTATATCATTATCTTAACCAAGTCCGTTGGAGATTTAGGTAGAATTCCAATCTACTGGCCAAGCATTCAGTTACCACAGTGTATTATATTACACAATTAGAAAACAAGCCCCATTTTTGGGGTAAGAAGAAAGGTGGAATTAATTAATAACTGGGCACACACTCACTCCACCCTCTTCTTTGTTATGAACAGCATGAGCTTTAAAACATGTCACATTACAAAGGCTTTGTCAACTTTTGAAACAGGAACAGAGATTCACTAAAATCATACTATCTAGTGTAAACCTTTTCAAAAATAGTTGCAATAACAGCCACTTTGTAATGCAACAGGTGTTTAAATTGAAATTGTAACATTACAAACCTGATATATCTTCTAATTCTGTCATTGCTTCTTCAGTGAATAATGGTGGCAAACGCTTAGAAAAAAAGTCTTTCAAAGCAGTAGCAACTGCATTTACTGGTATGTCCAGCTCATGAATATCAACAGATGAATCTATAGAACAAATAACAAACCATGATAGAGTACAAGAAGAACTACGTCGTATTTACAGCATATTGGAATAATTACGGTAACTTACCCTCTTCAAACTTCTGGAAGAGTAGGTCAACATGGGCTCGGTTTCCAGGCACACGGTAAATTCCTTCAGAATCCAACCCCTCTTCTTCAATGAACTTGACACATTTTTCAAGAAGCAATGGCACAGAATTATCATCAGATTGAACAAAATCTTGAAGAGTAGGAGCTGATGCTCCTGAACCACCACTGCCACCACTCCCCACTCCACTACTTCCCCCAGCAGACAATTGCTTTGTCACAGATTGCTGCTTCTGTTGCTGCTTCTGTATTTTTTTCTTTTCCCTCTCTTTTTCCTTTTCAGCTAACTTCTTCACCTCCTTCTGACGCTTTTTTTCAAGTTTTTCATCATCCTTAGCCCTTTGTTTTTCTTTCCTTCGATTGAGTTTGTCATCATCTTTCAATTTGCTTCCCATACCAAACTAAAAATTAAGAATTAAAAATTAGAAGGCAAAAATTTATGCAAGAAACAGCAGAAGATTGCAAGCAATTTTAAATACCAGAGGAGAATTGACATCTCTGGGAGAAGAAACATCAAGACTTGACTCATCATCGTGTATGCGTCCATATGAGCCTTCTAGTTTCATTTTTGCTGAAATAAAAATCATACAGTAAGACAATTTCTTATAGAAACATACCTCTAAGTGGGAACAAGGAAAAAGATAATAATAAAAACCAACAGCTACAGCTATTATTAAACACTTTCAAAGTTTTGAAGATTCTATAAAAATAAGGAAGAGACTCTTGAATAATTTATGATAGTTCCAACTCCACTATTTAGATTAGATTAACCAAGGCAGTAAAATAAAAAAAAAACTACCGTACTACACCTTTACCAAACTAACACTAGATGTAGTCTACCATAAACTTCTGAAGTGAAACCTTTTCCATGCAACACATTTTCCAAGCTACACAATAGCAAGCCACTTATTGAGAAAACAGTTTTGTTATTGGCCCAAGGAACTGCACAGAAATCTACAGTAAGACACAGATATGATCCAAGACTTCACAGCGAGTTCCTCAGGATTGTCATGTAAACTTTGGTACGATGGCTGTGAAAGTGAAATCTGAGTAAGAGAAGTCATGCACGAGTAATGTCTTGCCACATTTCAAAAAGAAATATCTACCATTACATGTCTAAATTTTAGAATGTCAGCTAGAATGAAATTCAATAACTATATCTCAGAAAATATTCAACAATAGAAAGATTATTTAAATCTATAATAATAAAAAACAGTCACAAATCTTAAGCCACAAAATTACTGGAAAAATGAAAATGCATGAAGTTATTCTGGCAAATTATGCAACTCAAGTTAGATAAGAACTATCAACTGGAGACACCAAAATTAAACACAAAACACATCTATACAGCACTCGTCACACAATGTAACACTTACAGGAGGGGGAGAACATGTCATTGTCGAGGCTTGGGGGATTCGGCACCACAGGAGGTCTAGGAGCGGGTCCAAGGGTTCGTTTTTTCAATCGGAAAGAATGTTTTTCAAGTTTTGTTTGAGGTCTCATAGCAGAACCAGCTGACATGTCTGGATCACTTGCATCGCTTGCATCAGAAGGTGATTCGCTGTTTGCTGTGGGACAGATTACATGTCCACATATTTTTACATCGTCTAAGTAGAGCAAAAACTACGAAGTTTTGTAAATTCAATGTAAATATTTTTCAAAAGGTATTAAGAAATTTTAATAACTATAGGCATTATATAGATAGATTAAAATAAATTGGAAGCAAAATTGATTAAGTTTACATATTTAAGTGCAGTACAAAAAAATAGGAAAAGAAAAACATGGAATCAGCTGAAGATAGCAGCAAAATCAAAAAAAAAACTGATGCTGTAGCCTACCACTTTCTTTTAAACTTGGCTTATTAAAAATTAAAAGGAAGAAAAGAGCTTTCTAAAAAAATAAGAAAATCAAAACCCAAAATTCTAAACTGGGTAACTTGTGTGTCTTTACATCTAAGTAACATTTGCTGGGAAGTAACATCTGTCAGCCAGAATTATTTCAGACTTGTTTCATCATTTGCTCCTCAATTATGTTAAGTGAAGTAGAAAAAATGCACAAAGTTAGTACCTCTCTCAAGGGAATCGCCCGCACCCCGGGACTTCTCATCCTTTAAGCGATAGCTAAGCATCCCTGCCCCATCTGGAGCAAAGGATTGCATGTTGGGAACCCGTGGGGTAGGAACAGGGATCGCCGTCCGCTTCTTACGGACACGTTTGTGAGGCGCGGGCTTGCGATTCGCTTTAGAATATGCTTCTGCAGCTCGCTGCTTTCGCTCCAGAGAGCTCCAATCACTGTCCGATTCAGAGAATGCTAGGAAACAACACATGGTATTAGACAAAGCAGACAGTGAGTAGTAGTAATACTTCCTCCACATCACTAAATTTTTCTGACATGTAGAACAGAGAAAATGGGTGAGGATGGATGAGGATTTCTGTAATGATGGCCTAAAATGATAATGTCTTGTCAAAATTAAAACGAATCATCTGTTTTTCTAACTATTCCCATCTACATGGCTGTTTAAACAGAAAAGAAGCACCCAAAAGATGGCGTTGACTACAAGCGCAGAGAAGAAAAGAAGCCACAAATGGTAGCTCTTACACCATACATTGGTTAAATCAAAACATCAAATTTGTATGGGTTAGTAAATCATTCTGCATAGAGATCATTGGAATGTATCTACATTGATGAAGACCCTTAAGTACTGATTCAATACATTTTTGCACATACAATATGAAATTAGAAAATGACCTGACCAGATTACTATCAGTCATGATTAAAAATATAAAATGAAAAGAATGGCATACCTGGACGACCTTTCTCACGTCTGTGACGAACTTTCGATTTATTGTTGCCAACAGCATCTTGGACCAATGCATATGTATACTCTCCATCATAAGACGAATACAGGCTAGGCACTGCATCCTTCACCTAGACAAAACAAAGTTATTTTTTATACTTAAGAGACTTTGAAGCAAGGAAAATCATACTTCTGTAATCTGCAATAATTTTAAATTAAAAGGCATACTGGGGCAAAATACATAGCAACTTCACAAACAACAAGTTTGACAATAGCAAAGAAGAAAACCAAAATCATGCGGCTTTCAAAACATAAATGCTATTAGGTCTAAGAGTTTTATGAGCGTATTTTCATACAGGCAATATTCAGTAGGACATGCACTTCAAATCATGCAAAAAGAAACAAAAAACAAACCAAAAAAACAACAACAAAAAACAACTGACAAATGATGTATCATGCATTTAAATACTTTTGTAAATAAAGTATTGCTTGGCAAGCATAATAAATATGCATTTAATTAAAGCATGCTTAAAATTATGCACACAACAATGCACTTAAGTGAAACTGTCTCAAAATACATTAACTTCCGTAAGACACAGATAGAAACAAGAAATGGTGGCACCTCATTTTATCCTGACAAAGAAACCAATTCCCATACAATTTCATTAAAACTCTCACCTGTGCATATTCTGAGACTACATCCATATTTTCTTCTCTAGCAAGGGGAGCATGGTGGCCATAAACAGGTCTCTGTAACTTGACTAGCTTCGATTCCTTTCCTTTCACGTTCATGCGAGCAATTGCATCTGTCACCAGGGAGTATTCCTCCATGTTCAATTTGCCAGGTTGCTGGAATCATTATGGGTAGTATTTAAGTCGGTGGATACCAAAATATTCTAATTGGTGCAGTACTAAACCTGACTATGCCCAATATTCAACTGTTTTCACAGGCACGTTTTAGGGCAGGATGGGGGATCACAATTTTCATTCCCACAAACAACCTTTAATTTTTATTGAATAGCCACTTGGAGGGGAGAAGAACAAACATTGACTTAAGTGTAACCAAAATTTAAGGTTTATTTTTATGGTGAGGCAGGCTTAAAAAAGCTGAAGTTTGAATGAGGGCCAAATCATGCTGCCTAAACTGCAGAGATTTAAGCAGAAGACTAAAGGTGACAATTATTTAAACATCTATACTAAAATTTGGCTTTGAATGCTTCTTTACAGCTTGGAAAAAAAATAATGCAGTTAAAAGGGGGAAAATTCATATCATGCTTCATCATTTAGTAATTCTTAAAATTTATTAATAACAAAAAATGGGGTAAAATTTCTAAGGCTCAGGCGTGTCATACTGCGTTAGATAGTTACTTAAGCAGATAAAAAAATGAGATGTTAAAAAACAAAAAGAATAATTATTACAAATTTTACCTTAAGTGTGTGGCTGTTACCCTTCGGCCTTGTTTTCGTGGGTGGAACATGGCGACGACCAGTAGTGAAAGCGCGGTGAGCATAGTTGTTCATCCACATGCCTTCGTCTCCATCAGTGCGATGAAGAAAGACAGAATCATCCACCCATCCTGTGAGAAAGATAGATAACCCTGGTCAAAATATCTCTTAAACCAGATACAATGTCCTCGGAATACAATACAATATTACACCCAATCCTACGGTGCTGTTACACAATTACTCGTCAACAAAATACAACAGAAAAGAATGAAAGAAAGAGATGGAGATAAAACATGAATATGAGTGTACTTTTCATCTTATGATTAAGGACTTAAATGAAACACAATGTAACAGTAAAAGAAAGCAAAAAAAGCGAAATCACAACCGTCAAAACTAAAAGAAACAAAATTTTAACAAATAGACGGTAATTCACCTGAATCTCTTGTGGCAAGGGACTCCCTTGATCCACTTATGTCAGCTAGGGAAAAAGACAAAAAGCTGTTAGTAAAAGTCAGTAAATTTGGCTTGACCCTGGAGACAGAGTATTTGTACAAAGAAATTCTGCCACTCCTAGACATATAATGTAGCTCTCAAATAATTTAAATGTTTCCAGAAGTCAAGGTATCGATAGCACATCTAACATGAACACAGAATCCCACTAAGGCAATAAGGAGCAGTAGCAAGATTCCAACACAAAAAGCTGTCTAGCAAAGAAAATAAATAGGATATTGAAGATAAGCATAACGATCAATGGTCCAGTTTGTCCAAGTCAAAGTATATCACCAATTCAGATAATGATGCTCCATAAAGAGAAAAAGAAAATAACAAAATAAGTATTAAAACTGGACTCAAGTGCGTTGATTTATGATTCATTGACAGAGAAATCCAGCAAACTCAAAATGAGATAAATGAAGAGTAATAAAAAAAAATAGAGCAATGCAAAGAAAGCATGCCTATCAATGAAAGGCTCACTGCTATACAGTGGCTTAAGAAAGATCATGCTTTGGCATTGCAAGAGAGATTTTGACAACTGTTTATGTATAAAATCTAAATCATCATGCATCTGAAAGGGTAAGTCCCTGAAGCATACATAGAAGAGTGTACTGTACAGTATATGGTTTTGTCCAGGCAAAGAATCATTTCAAGAATAAGTAGAAAAATAGCAAACTCCCTCACTGGCATTCAAATTTATCACAAATTAAGAAAAGAGATGACCAATTCAAAATGTCAAACAAAAAAGCTTTTGAAGGTATCATGGTCATTTGCTAATTTTCTCCCAATCTGAAATGTGCATGCTTATTTTATTTTATATAAAAAGGGGAATAAGGAACTTGTTTCTTTTTTTTTTTTAAGGGTATGAAAATAGTTTGTGCATCACTTAAAATGAAGCGCCTATCTATCACGTGTAGTGCGTGTCCATGACTAAATGTAAAACTATTATACGGTACATGTAATTTCGTCGAGACTGGTGTGAGACCCGGAGGGCAGAGTAGTCGCCTTGACGAGTCGGTGTGGGTGACGCGGCGGGTGGTCAGGGGGCGCGGGCTCTGGGGGAGTGGTGGGAGGGGGGTACACCTGAAACCCTGTGCACAACCAATGCCATCACCACCACACACCCCGAAGCAAGAGCAGACCAGACAAACCGTCACAAACTCATCACATAGACTCATAGCAAGACATATATATAGTCACATCATTTCATGTTAAAGAGACAGCTGAGATGAAACAGCTTTCCCCCACATTTAAACAGTCAGAGGACAGAGAATTATTGAAAATTCTTAAGTAATAAGTATTTGTTAATAATGAGAAACAAACCTCCTGAATGATAAGTATCTGATTAAGTATGACTCAGTAAGAATAGATTTCCATTATCAAGGATGAGTAATAAGAGCTAGGTTGCTCAAAGTAATTTAAAACAAAGCGATCTTACCTTGATGCATCTTGGCATTCTTGATGTCACTTGGTTTGACTAGGCTTTCACCATTTTCCTGGCTGTACATTTCTACATGAGAGTAGATATCACTGTCATCACTGGGACTGAGAAGGTGGTCATTAAAGGAAGGTGAGAGGTTAATGTCATCTCCCTGCGATGCATCAGTTGGAAGTCGTTCATATATTTCAGATCCACTTCTATAGTTTGAAAAAATAAAAATGTTATAATGGAGTGTGCATGTATACAGAGTATTATTCAAAAGGTCAGATTTATTTAAAAAGTACTAGTACTTACCCATCATTAGAGCCACCTTTACAGTGGTAGCTTTCAAGTCGAGGTGGTGGTCTGGGTCTTCTTCCAGGTCTTACTTCTAATGTACATTCAGCAGACCGACTAAGACCAGGGGGCTCCTCCATATTGAAGGCTTGTTCAATTTCCGGCTTTTTGTCCCAAACCTCTTTAAAGAATGGTGTATAGAAGGCGGCTGTAATTAATAATAAGTTAATTAATGTCAACATAGATAGAAAATCTAAAATTTCAACATTTTCAAGAAATAAAAAAATATGATGAGGTTTGTAACCGTTTTCCCACTTACTTTTCTGTTGACAAGATGATGATGATGTCATAAAATGAGCTCCAAGGCGATCTGCTACGGCATTGCCTTCTGTCATGAGCAAATGACTGAGATCACTGCTGAAGAATGCATTGGCACCACCTGTGTCTGTCACTGCCATTATTTGGATTGGCAGGTTGGGAATATTCAATGAAAAGGCGCTGCAAAAAACAAATGAACTACTGAGTGGACGTTTAGGTTCTACAATATGCTTCCTATAAACAGATGGTTTAACAAAATCTCTCTTCTTAGGGGAAAAATGTAACTTACTTTAATGTAGCCAGTGAAGCTTTTCTTTTAGTTGAGTAAACCAGGATGAACCCATGAACTAGGTCATCTCGAAATGCATTGGCACCATGGTATGACGAAATAATAACCTCAACCTTTCGTTTGGAATCACCGAGGAACGTTTCAAGAATGATGCTGCGTTCTCCACTTAAAAAGCAGCACTGATGATTTAAAAGTGGACCAAGAACATTTTCCACAGAGTATGGATCACCACAGAACATACACATGATTATCCTGTAAAAGTTATAAATATGATATATATGATACATACACAATACTTTAGGATCATAAAATTCATGAGTAGCTACTGCAAGAATACCTTATGTCTGGTTCTGAGCCATCCATAACAGATTGATAAACATTGATGAATCCTGCTCTGTGATGAATACTCAGTATAAGTTGTCGCAATCCATCTGCCACAAGGTTGGCATTGAATCGTTGGCTTAGGTCAATATCCTCCATGGTGACATCAATGAAAGGACACTGCAGGCTACAGCAGGATAATAAAAACGAGTTAGCGAAATCTTTAGACGCAGAACGCATACAATTTATAAGCAGTATTAGAAAACATAAATGATATACCTATCAGCAAGACTCTGGCCTTCTTCTCGGAGCCTGAGAACTTCTTTTTCCTCAACAGATGGATCAGCAACAAATAAAATGACAATGGGAAGGCCTTGAAATGGAAGACGGTCATCTTGTTCCAAATTTGAAAGCAGTGTTTTTTCAAGACTCTCACGGACATATTCAAAAGTTGAAGGGTTTGAATAAACACAAAAACAGCCTAAAACCAAAAAAGATATTCAATAAATAGAAGTGTAAAATAAAATAATTTCAAACATTTTTCTCTTTGATAAAATAATGAAGAGGTCTTACCATGGGGTACAAAGTCTGATGTTTTGAATGAATTTTGAGGTAAGCTGACATCACCATCAATGATTCGGTAATCCAAGCTGTACAACTGACAGTCAATTTCATACTCATCATCATCACATTGGGTCTGGCGAAGAAAGATAAAATACACAAATTAAACAAACAATCATATGACAATGAGCCAATCTTAAACTATAAGTACAGACCCTGATCTCTGTGACTAGTTCATCTGCCAGGCCATCAATGCCCAAAATCACTAAATTCAATTGATTATTGTCTGAGCTAAGCATCCATTGGCTGCTGTGATTCCATGAAGAGGGTCTGATGGGAAAAGAAACCAAATTAGGAGACAGGTTGTGGTTGGGAAGATATTCTAGGACACAAACTTTGAGATGTTACCATTACCTGTGTGCTTTGTTGGCTAGAATGCGTTCAATGAGAGCATCCATACAGTTTGGAAAAGCAGGACAATGTTCACGAATGGGACAGTGAACAAAGCCAAGGTGCTGGAAAAGCATTAATTTGCGATCCTGATCCAAACGGTCAAGGGACTTGTAACGGGAGTCTTCCTGGAGTGCATCTGTTATTTCCTTTATGTCATCTTGAGTTATAGTACCAGTAGGAGCAATGCTCTTGAAATGATAAAATAAGTCAGCATGTTCCAAGAGAAGTTCCTACAAAATTTTGAAAGGTTAGTAAGAAATTTAAAGATAACTATGTATGGTATAGAAAAATAGGACAACATATATATTGTACCTGGAAGTTATGCTTTGCTTTTTCAACAATCTCTTTCTGGTGACGATCATAGATTGCCTGACACTCATGGTCTGAGAGAGCTTCAAAACATTCACGTCCCATAAAAAGTACTCTGACTTCAGATAACAGCTTCCCAGGTGTGACATATCCTGTATCTTCCAGTAACTGCTTGAATTGCTTCTTGTACCTTTCAATTGAAAAAAAAAAATGCATTGATTAATCAATTCTCAAACTGTTAGAATACAGGCTGTTGGGATTAGAACTCCTTACTCAAAATGAGAAGAGAAACAATCTTTACTGATAATACTAAAAGCTGATTCACACATACCTTTTGGGAAGCCTTCACCACACAAGCAGCAGACACAGGAAAAGAAACACAGATATCACCATGTTAGTTCATTGGGTTAATTTGACATAGAAAAAGTTTGAAAAGCCCCCAAACCACATACACAGATTATTATATAAACAATATTCACATATCCCACAAGTGAAAGCTAAGGCCAGCTGCAATGCCCAATGCAAGCTTCGGAAGAACATTGTTAAATAGTTGCCGGATGACATTTTAACATATAAACAAATTATTCAAGCATGACAGGTTTTGAAAACCCAGACAATAGACAGATTAATATTTGGATTGTGTCATGATATTTTGTGTCCCACCACCAGAATTAAGAAGCTTATAGATAATTTTAAAAACTCACTCTAGTCTCTTTTGTTCCTGCTGAAGAGCATTGACATGATTCTTGAAAACAGTCTCAGCTTCTGTGGTATCAAGAACATCAAACGGTATCCGGGTTTCGGATGGATCATCAAAGTCACCCTCTGTCCATGGTAAGTCATCTGGACACTCATAAAAATATTGACTGAAATCGGGGTGATCTTTGATGTGTTGTTGGACAGAAGGCCAGTCACTGGAAGAGAGCAAATTGTAGGATGCAAAAGCAAATTCCAAACAAAACACAAAATTTTTGGCTGAGTTCAAACCACACTAAAAATTACTGCTAGTGCTAATGTACAGTAATGTATGTAGAACTATACGATACAAAATCACAAGGCCAAGTTTCAGGTTCAAAAAGTTAGTGAAACAGGTTGCTGCCAACCCAACAGACACAACATAGCATGTCTTCAAGTAAGGCTAACAAATTTCATAAATTATTTAAAAATGAAAAAGGTAAAATCAGTGAACAATGAAATGAGCAACTACAAAATATGTAAACACACTCAGCCAAAATTTCACAGCATTCAATATACGTAAAAGAGGGGCCCACATAGCAATGGTACTATCTGACTTACCTATCCATTAATGTGTTCAGGTCAGGGATCATTTCTTGAAGGACATCAGGCAACATTTCCATGAATCCTTCAACTCGTTCCGCCAAATACTCATCTTTCAATTTCTTCACGTGCCGACGGAAAAGACGATGTGCACTATCCATTCCAAATTGATCAACAAAGCGAATGAAGTCCGGTTGATTGGTGAGTTTCTTGGAAGTTGGATTCCACATTGCCCGATAATCAGTGACCTGACATTAAACAAGAACAGTAGATTGGTTAAAAAACATTCAAAATTCTTGGAACAGGAGGAGAGATGAAAATGAAAGGGACGAAATGGATTTAAGTTGGTCTATTCATACCTGAGACCTAATGAGCCTCTGGAAGACCTCTGTAGCTTGATCTAAAACCTCTTTGCGTGCTCTTGCAGCCTCAATGAAAGGCACAACTTTCATCCTACCCTTTGAACGATCAATGAGTTGAGCCAAAGCTATGAATGCATTATCTACATTAATATTCTCATGAGCTGATGTTTCAACAATAGGAATTGTGCCTTTGTACTCTTTCCTGTTAACAAGCTTTTCTGCTTCTTTAACATAAATCTCACTTGCATCGTCATTCTTGGTAGTGACCAATATAACTGGTTTCTTTGTTTTCATGATGTTGTTGAGAATAGCAGCTACAACTTCTGTTTGCTTTTCAATAGATCGACTTGGAACAACACTAACATCATACAAGCACAAAAAGCCATCAACATTAAACTTGCCATCAGGAATGACCTTCTGTTCATATTCCTTCTCAATTCCTGAAGGATAAAAGAAAGAGTAAGGAGATTTCTTTTGATAAAAATGGAACGTCTATAAATTGGTTGTTTCTTTTCCATAGTAAACTACTTACCCAATTGATTTTTACAGATATACATTAGTTTTTCAGCTGAAGTAAGTTTGGTGTTGGTGCATCTCTTCATGTATGGTTCCATTTTACCACCCTTAAAAGGTTGAAATGATGCATCGTCAATGAATTCTGTTTGTTCAATAACTTGGAAGAGAACTTCTTGGCCTTCATCTGTTGGCTTCACTATGTCACCCCAGTACAAAAAGTGATCATTGTTAACCACTCTTCCACTGAAGTCAGTCTGTAAAAAAGAAAAGAAGGTCGGTCAGACTACATCATTGTGTGTTTTTGGTAGCAAGATTTGAAAGTTGTCAATACCTGACTGAGTACTGATATATGGTCGACACTGTAGTCATCTGCTAAAGAGCGCATGAACCGGTTACAGAGGCATGATTTTCCAACACCTGCCTGGCCTTTATCCTTTTCTGTTCCAGAAAGGCCAACCACAGCAACATTTATTGCCCGTAAGGACTCACCCTTACGAGCCATACTGCTGCGGAACTGTAGAGAGAAAACAAATTATGAGTCAAGAAAAATTCAACAGCAAATACTAACAACACTAAATAAACAAAACAAAACCACAATAAAAAAAAAATTAAACGAGTCTGGTAAGCTAAAGAATTGTTCCAAATTCAAAATGTTACTAAAGTGCTACTCCAACAGACTACTTCAAAGCAAATGACTAAACTAATCAAGTACTTACTTACCATTTTTATTAGTTTTTAACCACACAAGGTAGAAAATAGAATGGTCTTCACCTGACATTGTCCACAAACATACATTTGTTCCACAATGAGCCTTTAAAAATATATATAAAAAAATAGAAAATCAAAAGGGACAAAATTAATATGAAGCATCTAAATTCATACCATTTCACAAACTATGAAAAATTAAGTAAACAATCAGACAAATAAAAAACTACAACCTAGGTAACTTTAATTAAATATTACTTAACAAAGAAACATACAGCATTTTAAATTTATGATAAAATGCGGGGGGAGATAAAAGTATGTGAAATACATGCAAGATCTACAATAACGTCAATATAGGAACTGAAATATGTCATCAATACGTTGTAGGTAAGATAAATTTAATGGAATGTCTTACCTAAACAGCTAGCAGCAAGGAAAGCTTTTAAGCTCACCAGTTTAACTCAGACATGTCTAGCATTGCTTTCGACTCAAGTGCCATAAGGCTGAGCAGTAGTTAGACCAACTGCATTATAAGAAAAGCCTGGAAAAGTAGAGTGCGAATAATGGCAAATAGTAAATGCGATAATTTTACAAGTCTTAAATTAAATAATGTGTCAATAACATTTAATTATCTCAATGTTTAGAGAGGGATGAGCAGGCATAACATATAGAAATAAGGAAATAATGAAAAGTAATAGCAATTTAGGATGTGAATGCATTAAATTGCCACAATTTTCGTTTTGATGTAACAATTTTGACATTGAAAGAAGGGAAGTAGGGAGAAGTGACTCCCCTTGATGAACCAACCAAAGGTTATGACAACAGCATTTATTTAGTGTATGAAGCATATGTTGAATGAAATGTTAGTACTTAATACATTCATTTGATTTTTAAACATTTGTGGGATAGAAAAAAATGTAACGTCTATATCAAGAAAGTTATCAAACCTTCTTCTGAACAAACTAACACTATGCCAGTACCTTTTTCCTAACAACTATTGCCGACTACATTAACAACCGCGAAGTCTAGTTACCGCTGAGATCGATAAAATGTTAAAGAACTGTCGGTGCCAATTTCATTTGGTCTCAGTTAATCCAACTAAGGAACGCGACTACACAAAAGAGCAAAAAAATCGCATCTCAGTTCCTTTCACATGAATGAAAGTGCTCTGCAGGGGGCTGTCACTTACTTGAAAGCTAGGGATCGGCGAACTCGTTGTGAGCACAAATATGGTATTCTGTCGTGTTGAAAAGCGGCACATAAGAAGGAGCTGTTTTCCTAGGCTGCAGTTGGCCGTACGAAAGAGAATACGCTAATTACTTGGCAAATAAGTGCGAAAATGATCCAACCTCGAGTTGGGAGGATCCAAGGTACCTATAGTCCATTCATGAAACTCACAGTTCTTTCTGCAAACCGCTCAGCAGACGACAAAATACTTTGAAAATACACGAACCCACGAAACCTCTAAAGGACGATCCAATTCGATAGAAACTTAGAAAACGTAAAATAACACTTTGTGTTCACCTGTGATACTCTGGTTTGTCTACTGATTTGGACGCCATGTTAGAAAATTTTGTGATGAGAGTCCATGAGCAATGTGAAAAAAAACTCAGAACTGGATGACTCGAGACTTAAATCACTATCTCAAGATGTGTCTGCAATCGCTAGATCCCCACGTATTTTTAAAGGTGTCAGTAGAAAGAAATGGTTCTAGCTTTACCCATTTAATGTCGAATAAATACAACAAGCGTGGAAAGAGCTTATCTAGGCTGCCGTGCCAGTCGACAACCTGGGCGCATGGCATCTGAACGTTCCCTGCCAAACAGTGGGAAAAGAAAGGAGGCCCACAAGAGTTTGTGATTCTAATTATGGCAATGGCTGGTGTGCACTAAAATATAAAAAAATGGCAGTTTGATGTCTTTAGAAATCTTTTGAGAGGATGATTTGTGAGTGATTTCGTTTCAAACATGACTGACGCGTCGGAAGATAACATGGGCAAGTGTTCGGACAGCGATGAAGCTTCTGAACTTCGTGTAAAGCTCGAAGAAAATGTGAATTTGATAAGCAGACAGTCTCAAGAGATAGCCACTTTGAAAAGTGAGCTGAAAGCAGTGCTCTCTGAAAGAGACATGCTTCTGTGTGAAGTGAGCAGATTGAAGTTTGAAATGGAAATGTCGGATTTGAAACGTCTACACGTAGTAAGGTAAGTGACAGTTAACTTGCCTTCCAACCTCGGTTGACTTCTCTTTAGGCTCAACTTTGTCAGCTGTTGCTGCTTCCCTTTAATTCTTAGCTTTGCAGTGAAGATGGTTGAAAGTATTTATCATTTTTAATCTTATTGAAGGAAAAGTTGCATTGGTATCTGTGTAGGGCATCTACCATGCACAAATTCTGTTCTGATTGTCACCTCACTGAGGCCCATGTGAGTGTTTCATTGAACTGTCAGACATTGTTTACATTGTCTCAGTAACATCATTATTTATTACTACTGGCCTTGTGGTGGATTTTTAAAATGTAGTCATGATTTGTCAATGTCATACATGAGTGTAAAAGTTGTAGAGCTGTCAGTCCTGTCAGACAACAAACCTTGTTCCTCCTTCCTGGGGGGTCTCTGTGCAGACATTTTGTAGGTGGCTTTGTTCGAGATAGCTTTATAACATTTTCACCTAATAATGTGTATTTCCATTCGGCCCTAGACCATGTGATTAGCTGGTTTTCCATTCATTCATTTATGCATTCATAATTTCATTCATTCATGTAGTCATTTCAACTGGTCTGTTTGCTGAACTGATTCTTCGCTGCGTTCGCCCACTAAGACCAAATTGCCACCGAGATAGTTGCTGACTGCCTGGGATTTGACTTTGAGTGGCGACCAAAATGGCGTAAGTTCATAACTTTCTCTGTACCCTGAAAACGAGTGTTTGAGACTCCCTTTACTGGCACATTGAGCTTCAACACCCCATGCTCTAGTTTGTGCTTGGGTGCCCTCCTCTGCATGAAGCTGGTTAGGCCCTTAGGTGACTCTGCATCTACCTGACCGCCCACGCCCCTGCTTAAGGTGAGGTGATGCTCAACTGTTGCGCGGGAGGGCGGGGTG